GTCATTTGTAAATGATATATGTTGCTTCCTTGATTGGGACTTTTCCATTTGTGACATATATATATTCTACTATATAATAAATTATTATTTTAAAAGGGAGTTTATGCCCAAGTATATAATATATAATATTCAAGATTGAGACTTTTAAAAGGGAGTTTATGTCCAAGTATAATATATAATATTCAAGATTAGAACTTTAGTCCCAATCTTGAATATTATATATTATACTTGGGCATAAACTCCCTTTTATTATATAGTAGAATAGAAAGTAGAATAGAATGTAAAAAGGTCACACCTTTGGAAAAAAACGTAGGTGATTCTCATGAACTTGCAGATACAAAAAAGGTTAGGCACTTGTAATTATCAACTTTAATTATAGAGTAAATTTCCTTTGACCTTTTGTGTTTGAGAACTAACCCCTTTAATTAATGGATTTTTCAAAAGCCATAAATGACCCTCAATACTATGAAAAATGAAATGACATTTGTTTTTTTTCAATAACAAAAGAATCCTCTCTCGGTCTTTTTTTTTACTTGTCAAATTTTGACTTGACACATCTATTAAAACAATAATAATTAGTGTAGTGAATTTATCATTTTACCCCTATTAATTGATAGGGTCCAAAATATATTTACTCACTACATATTTCAAAGACATTAACTTAATGTTAATAAATTTAGGGTATAATAGGGGGAAAAATTGTTCTTCCTTGATTTGTCAAAATAACGAGTAAAAAGAGAAATCAAATTAGGAAATATTTGACGAGTAAATAGAGACGGGGGAGCATTATGCAATAGTCAATACTCTTTTTGTTCCTATTTATATGTCACAATTTTAGATTTTATGTGTCTTAAAAAACTAAATAAGTTTATCATTATACCCTTATTTAGTGTTATAAATGAACATAAATAATTTATTTTAATTAATTAAATTGACTAGTGAATATGAATTAATCATTTAATTTTTCTATGTTTTTAAGGCAAATAACTCTCAAGGGTAAAATAGGAAGAATAGTATTATTTATATATTGATTTTGTGAAATGACAAATATTAAAGAATATTTATTTTTAATAAGGACGATATATAAACAGATATAGACTAGAGGAGTAACATTTTTACACAAATTGTACACCATATAAAAATATAGAAATACCTCACTTTTCTCCTTTGCCTTTCTTTTGGAGTTCTTTTTCCTTAGAACTCCAAAACTGCGTAACTCTTGATTCTTTTTTAGTAGAGGCTTTTTTTTGTGGGGGGGGGGGGGGGGGGGGGGGGGGGGGGGGGGGGGGGGGGGGGGGGGGGGGGGGGGGTATATAATATTAGAAAAAAGTAGTATTTGAAAAAAATAATTAAAAGTTAAAATTGTATTTGATCATGTATTTAATTTGAAAAATGCATATGTTTTGTGAGTGAAAAGAAATCACTTAGAAAAGTTGGTCAGAATTTAAACGTGAATTCCATCTTCAAAATCAGTTCAATGTAGAACCATACGTTATTTTTATTTTCTTTTAAAAGACAAAAATCATGTCTAAATAGATTCTTAGTATTACTCGTATAATTCCTATGGAAAAAAAATTCCACTCTCTTTTTTCCATTGAGATGACATGATATTATTCCCTCCTTTTAAAGTTATTTGACTCATGTTGATCCGATGCATTTCTTAAGAGAATTTTAATTAAATATATATATTATTAAACTAATTATGTTTTGAAAATCGAAATTTGACTACAATACTATAGAAACAATAACTGATTTTTTAAAAATTTATTAAAATGGACAAATAAAAAGGTCAAGTAAAATATAATGGAGATAGGATAAAAAGGAACGATATCATAAATTTGTTCCTATTCGAAAAATCAGTCAAGCAAAAAGTACAAGCAGACTAATATATTTCCCCCAATCAGACTGTTCAATAAACATGCAAAACTACACTCTACAAACTTTAGCAGAGGGCCACTACACTTGAAAATATCTTATAAAAGAAGACATAAAATTAAAACTGAATTTGTAAAGTATTGTAAAACCAATCAGATAAAGTACGTAATTAGGCTTGACAAATAAGATATAAAACTACATGTTCAATTTTATTTTATTTTTATTTTAAAGAAGAGGGCAGTTTACATATTTTTACAAAAGATTAGATAACCGCTAAAAGATAAGGTGGGGTGGATGAGATTTATGTTCATTAATGAGTTCTAGCTTGTTTAGTGAAAGTCATTTAGGAAAATTATATTTGGAATTGCAATTTAAATTTCTTAAGTTGTATTTTTGCTCATAAACATAAAATTTCATAAGTTATGCAAACTATCAAAATTTCTTCAATTTTTATAGTCTTAACAAATGAGGAAACCATAATTCGTAAAAAAGATATTGGAATATCTTAAAGTGTTGCGTTGATAAAATCACTTATCTCCATGTACCTTTTATAATAATAAAAAAAAATGTGTGTGGTTACAAACTTTCAAGTACACATAATTTTACAAAGTTTCACTAGTCAACAATAAGAATAGTTAATTATTATTTAAACTAATTATTTCACTTGATACAAACAATCGCTCTGTGCCGAGTAGACGAGCATGGATCTTTTTCATTTTTTGTTCTTACAAAATTAAAATTATGATTATTATTTTTACAAAATACAAACTTTTGGATCAATTTACATTTAAAATTACACTAAGATCACAATTTTGAATCTCATATTATGATTTTTTTAAAATTGAGATATTAAATCATAATTTCAAATTACATATCTAGACATTAATTTAAAATCATGATTTCAAACACATACTAAATGCTTAAAAGAAAGAAAAATGGGAGATTGGATAAGTGACTCAATTGTAATATTTGAAGCTACAAGAGACACAAGTGCAAGAAGCATAAATTAACCTCAGGGAAATTGAAACAAAGACCCGCTAGGTTTATGTGGTGATAACTTTACCCCCTAACAAAACATTTCTTCTATTTATTGCCTCTTTTTAAAAAATAATCTCTTTTGATGAAGTACCGAACAACAAACAACAATAACTTTCACACGTCGAATCTAAAAAAAGTGAAATGTACACAGTTATTATCTCTATTTTTATGAAGTACAAAGTTTGTTTTCAATAAACTTTTGATGTATAAGTACCAAACGAGGACAAAGAAAAAAGTGAGTGATCAAATTAAGAAAACATAATTACATTTACAATTGAAAATTAACCATGTTGAAATAGGGATCTAACAAGAACCAAAAAATAAAAAAACAAATATACAATACTAGGTCCATTATTTTTATCCCTAACAAAACGGCACTTAAAAACTCCATTTCTCAATGGAAAAAGGGGACAAGAAGTTAGTTCATCACCATTCATTTCCCCATTAGACAATTCAACTCAAGATCCTTAATTAAAGGGCTTTAATTTATTTTTCCTTAAATAGCAACTCTTTATTAATCACAACATTAATTATTCCCCTTCCAACTAATAAAAATAAAAGAATCAAAATTTACAACTTGAATTAAATAAGCTGCCACACTTTTAGTATGTCCAGCCAGTACCATGCCAAAATTTTCCCTTTCTCCTAGCCCTTATATTGGATATTTTTTAATTTTTTTCAATTATCTTGTCCCTCCAAATTATTATTTTTTTTTAAAAAATCTACATAATACGTAGATTTAAGAAAATGGAGGGTAAGAAATATGTCTTTAAAATCATTATAAAATAGAATAATTTCGGTGGTATCAAATAGAAATATTTTTTGCTTAGCTTGTTAGATTAATCCGTAAAGCTAACTTTATATTATACAAAAAAAATAAAAATAGGAAGGGTCTTTTGGTCCACATAGTATTTTATTATTGATCCGTCGTTACAACAACTCAACAGTTTAATTGACTGATTTAAGTAAAGGTTAAACCTAATTTATTCTAGTAACCTCCTATAATTATTGTTCCCATTTTACCCTGCTTCGTCCACTAATATGAAAAGCACACGAATTTAAGTTTTATAAACTAAAATAGTAAGAGGAAATTTATACTTTTGGTGCTACTTTTAATCGGTAACAGACCCCACTTCTTGCTATGAGTTTAAATTTTGTATATCGATAATTCATATATTTCTTACACTATAGAATTAAGTTAAGTGTATAAAATATGAAACCCTCCATATAAGAGACACCTTAAAAATGTTTAGAATTTAATTGATTAACTTAAAATGAAAGTTAATCAATATATACAATTTACTCTCGGACCTGTGTGACTTTATTTGATCATATTACTACTGGAAGAGTCAAATAAGTTTTTGTTTGACCATATTTATTTTTGATTTTTTAAAAATATCTTTGAATTATTAAACATTATGACTTAAAGATACTTTTATATAATTTCTAAATATGCAATATTTTATTTTTAGAAAAAACTTCAAGATGTCATGGTTAAAATTCACACCAAGAATTAGTCAGTTTGACTCTAAACATTATCACATAAAATGAAACATTTTTGGACTATAAACTTATTGGTTTGTTACTCTGTTAATAAAGTAATGGAATATTTGATTGGTGGGTTAAGTTATTTCGAGAGTGTAAATTTATGAATTTATACATTTAATCAAACAAATTATAGACATTTAATCGTGATCAACTTTATTTCATGAACCAAACGACCCTTATTTTTTTTTAAAAAAGACTCTAAATAAGGAAAAATAAATAAAACTAAAGGGGCAATTTAGGAAATGTAGAGATGGGATGGAAATAAATGCAAAAGTCGCATGTTACATGTCCTTGCCATTCACTCTCTTTTGCCTTCATGCATACGCTTTAATTGAACTTTTTCTCCTTTTTCCTCTAATATTAATTACCTTTTGCCGTTTTAAGTTTAAATTAATTTACTCTTAATTAATCCAAAAAAACTAATATCAAAAATCAGATTTGTTTTAGAGTATCTTTAAAACTATTTCCATTTGTATATATCTGTTGGTGGAGGAATGCTTGTTACCTACTCCTTTTTATAGCTTCCTTCCACTCTCTCCCAAAAACACACACAGTGGAGAGAAAAAAATGGAGAAAAACAAGATATGTAAGCTCTGTTCAAGAAAGTTTGCTAATGGAAGAGCTTTAGGTGGGCATATGAGATCTCATATGATGAATTTACAGTTACACCAACATGAAACAGAGTCAATTCCATCATCTTCATGGTCCGATGAAGAAGAAAAAGGTAAAATCTTGAATTCATCTGATGCTGATGCTGATGCTGATGCTGATGACTCGGCTGTTGTTCTTCCAGATAAGGAGAGTGAAACCGAGTCATCGAAAAATCCAATTCGTTTCAAAAGATCTAAAAGAGTAAGGAAATCAAGAAAACCCAATTTTGTGAAGATAACAGAGTATTACTCATCAGTGGTTGAAACAGAGCCGGTGAGTTCGATTTCAGAGAATTCACCTGAAGAAGATGTTGCACATTGCTTGATGATGTTATCTAGAGATAAATGGAATAAAAAAGAACAAGTTGATTTCTACTCTGATGAAGAGGAAGAAGATGAACAAGTCAAAGAAGAGAATTCAGAGGATTCTGAAGGAGGGGAAGTTAAAGTAACTACAAAGAGTACTAGAGGAAGAGGTAAGTATAGATGTGAAACATGTAACAAAGTTTTTCGGTCTTATCAAGCTTTAGGAGGACATAGAGCAAGTCACAAGAAGATTAAACTGTCAAACGAAGTGGTGGAAAGCGCGAGGAATAATAATGTAGTAGTTGAAGAGAAAATACATCAATGTCCTGTTTGTTACAGAGTTTTTCCATCGGGTCAAGCTTTAGGTGGACACAAGCGATCACATACTATTGGTGCTGTTGTTGCAACAAGTGTAACTGTTCTTCCTCCTCTGCCTCCACCTCCTGCTCCTGCTAAATTAGAATTATCAAGAACTGGTGGAACAAGTTTAATAGATCTTAATTTTCCTCCACCAATGGAAGATGATGATGAAATTATCAGTCAAGTTGAAGTTTCTGCAGTTTCTGATGCTGAATTTGTCAACCCCATCAAGAATCAGAGGTAAAGTTTTGGTCTTTCTTAATTTTTAGTGGTATTAGGAAAAGGGATTAATAGTGGATTATGGATCTAAGTTAAATTTTTTTTGGGAAAGTTGGATTAGCTTTTACTCATTCAATAGTTTTGACTGTAATTCATAATTACTGTTGAAATTGTTCTGTTAATGTTTTGAATGTAACAGCTGATTTTTACTGATAGAGGAGACGATCAAAATCACTTTCTTTTGTTTAGTTAAATGACTTTAAATTCATTTTCACATTCTTTTTTAGCTTACCAACAATATAATGTGGACTTTAAAAAATTAATAAAATTCAAAAAACAGCAGCTACTGTAGTTAATGGTGTCTGTTTGAATTGCTGCTAATGGCCTAAATAGTGTTCCACCTGTAAATTCAAAACAATCCCGAAGAGAATCAATAATGTTTTCACTTGCTTCACGAACTCGAATCTTCAACCTATAGGTTGATGGTAACAGTGTTCAACTACTCGAACAAATTTCACTTATTAAATAACCCTTTTGTATAATTTAAATTAAATACCACCTGTGCTATGTACTAGTAGAAGCAGCAACTAATTCTTTTTTCACTGTTTTTTTTCCTTTTTCTTCTGTCTCTCTCTTATAAATATATACATTTGTTGTTCTTCTGTGTCACTGTCTGACTTTCCAACACTTGTCTGATACTCAATAGTTAGAACCTTACAGATCTGAAATACTTTTTCTGAATACCCAAATGGTTCACATTTGACCCAATGGAGCTCAAATTTGTTTCTGTTGACTATATTACCCTAGAAGAGAATTTTAAAAACTATTTACAGAAAGTTTAATCTGTTATAGCAGATAACTTGACGACACTATCAATCTCATTTAAATGGGGAGTTGTTTAATTGTTTTAAACTCTTTAAGGCGTCAACATATAGTCTGACAAGAGTGAATCAATTATACTCTATAGTTTTAGTTCAAACTATATGTTGAACTTTACGGGTTCTAAACTCTAGCTTCGTCTTTTACGTGTAGGACTTAAAAGTCTATTTTTTAGTGTCTTATTATTAAGCAATTTGATTGAACTACCCTTTTTCCCTTAAGGGGGATATTATGTGAAAGATGAGAGAGAGAGAGAGAGAGGAAGTTGGCAAAAACACCATTGTTTTACTGAAAGAATATTGCTGGTTTGGTTTGGCATGACCCAAAGTATCTGGTTCATGCAGGTTCTAGTGAGAGAAAGTACAAATGATATTTAATTTTATGTGTAGACAGTTTTGTTGTGTCACATTCATGAGCACATAATAAAAAAAATGGACCAGGGTTCCTTTTCTTTGTTGGACAAAAACCTTTTAAATTATGTGCTATCGATATTTCTTTTTTCATAAATAATTATTTCTAGTTTTATATAACATCTTTTAATCATCATCCTACACTAAATTAAAGATCAAAAGATGAGAAAAAGTTGTATGAAGAGTAAGACTTTCTATTTTAAGTATAGTAGTTACCAAAAGAGTTTCATTAATGAATGTAACTTAGTTACCAAAAGAGTTTCATTAATGAATGTAACTTAAGATTTTAATGAAAATGTAATTGTGTTATTTGTACCTTATTTCAAGTACTATTATCAAAATTGTTCCTGCATTATTAAAATCTTTAGAATATTTAAGAGGCAAAAAGAGGAGTAAATTTGATTAATAGGTGGAAGAAAGGTATTTTTGAACCTTTTTGATTCTATATATATTTATATGCAAGGGACCAAAATAGACGTCCAACAAATTAAAAGATAATATGCTTAGTCAGATATTATAAGGATTAAATTCAAATTGTATTAATTTGAGGAACCAGTAACACTATTAACATTTTTATTTATCATTTGTAGAAAAGAAAGCATGGCTATTAGTCTGTTCCTAAAGGTTATAAAATCAGGTTTGCCTAATTAACAGAATGGGAGAAAAATAAGGTGCCTTTTGGGGAACGTTTAGGTCACCGTCATTTTTCTTACATGCTGATTAACATTCTTAGAGAAGCTAATAATCTACGTGGGGTTATGGATAAAGTTACTTCTTTCTTAATTAAAGATCTCGCTTTCAAGTTTTGAGTATGAAAATTTCCATAGCACAAAGTGCTTCCCTTCCCTCGAATGGATGTTATGCGACACTAGATGAGAAACAAAAAAAAGATATTAATAGATAAGCTGATAGAAAATATTTATTTGTATGCGATATTTATATTAAAATCTAATAATTTGGTTATAAGTGCGTCACAAATTCATATAAAAATACATGATTTGTCACGCTTAGTCGCTCTTAAATTCGTTTGCTTGATAGAGGTATGGATAAGTTTTTTTCGTATTAGTTATAAAAAAAATATCTTTTTATATTGCAACCCCTCACCTCAAAAAAAATAAAAACAATGTTATTCTATTAGTATTTTAATTTGTTCTTTAATTTGGAGTTGTGGTCTAGATCACATCGGACAATCATAGTGCCATGTCGGATTATGTGTTGTGTCTCAAAATTGTAAATTTTGGGTTTGGATGAGGAAGCTTGTCCAAGTAAAAAAACTTTTAAAAAATAAATAATAATAATGAAATTTTAGATAAATATTTTAAAACTTTTTTTTCCTATTATTTTTGAGATTCCATTGACCAATTCTGCATTTATCTGTTAGGGACATTTAACTAGGTTGAAAACGTACCTTGGCCTTTCAAAAACACTCGTTCACAAATTCAAATTGCATTATTTATTCTTCTTTCACAAAATATAAAAAAAATCTCGTTATAATTGAATTTGACCTTTTTTGGTGAATTAAACAATACAAATTAAGTCATAGCCAAGTTGATTGAATATTTGAAACTTAATGATTTGAGTACTGCCACAAGTCACTTGACAAAAAAAAAAGAAAATTAATTTATCACTGATCATTAGAAGGTGGTTTATTTTCTGGAACTTTTAATTAGATTATTACCATATACATTTTGAGAGGAAAAAAAACATCCAACTTGCATATAATGTCCTTTGTGTCTCATTCTTTTTTCCTTTAGTCCATTCTTTAATGTTTCTGGTTGTAAACAAAAGTCAACTTCCACCACTATAACCTCCATCAGAATCCCACTGTCAAATTTGTTTCTAATCATGTTATAGCACGTAATAACTTGTATGTAGTTAAAACGAGTACTTGATTTCTCGAATGATCACGTAATTAATATGTACTAGTTAATATTTCAAAAAATCCTCTTTATTGATTCAGTAATCATCTGAAAAATCAACTCATAGTAAAATTGATCCAACAAACATGAAATTTTGAAAATTGCTAAAAATATTAATATGATTATGTTTCCATCTTCTCGTACTTTTAGATAGATTATGAATCATGAAACCACGACTTAAATAAATTTCAATTTTTAATAATAGAAACTTGTCAAAGAAAAAGAACGTTTAGTAAAATATACTAGTAAAATGCAATAATAAGTACTACCTTAATTAATAACAACGTTTCCAGAAAGCAAAAGAGAAAAAGTTGCACTATGATAATAACCAAAAAAAACGCTAATTGGTGAACCAAATTAATTACTTATTTCTTTTATTTCTTGGAAGTGAAATTTCCACTAAGAATCAATAGATTCTTGGGTTCACATTCAAAAGTGGATAAGTCATCGTCAAGGACAACTCTTTGTCTCTCTTGATGGGTCTTAAAGAAATCTTAACCTTTGCTTATCTACAAATAAATGACCATCTAATCAATAATCACACAAACACGCATTCACAATGTGGACAACTCTTTTACTTTTATTTAATAAGCGTGATGTTTGAGTCAGTTTACACGTACACTTTAATTAATTTACAGGATACTTGCTACATGTACTTGCATATATGAGAAAAAATTATTTGGCATTTGTGTTTGTTTTCGCAAATTTTGATGATCTTAAATTTTTTATTTCACATCATAAATCACTAGGCCAGATCATTGTGTACGTTTTAACAATCATCATATACATTAATTGTGTACGTTCCCCCTATATTTTTTATGTAATTTTTTTGTAAAATTTTTATAGTATATTTATCGTCGAAGTTAAATTGACCGAACAATAATTTTGATTAGCTTGACTTGTCTTCCTAATTACTCATTGGTTTGGCCTTCATAGTTATGGCTTGCCATTAGTCGGTGGGTCGATTGGTCTTCTTGTATGAGAGTCCGTGCCTTTTTTCATATTCTTAAATTTTTGGTATATATATTGGTGGGGTCTTTTTTTTTTTTTTTGGTCAAGTCTTTGAATTAAAGAATTGACCTTAAATTTGCTAGCATGCAACTTCAAAATGTGTGAGTCAATTGTCAATGTTGTGATGTATATTTGGTACACCTTTCTTGTCTCTTCAAAAGTTGATACAAAGACTAGAAACCTTCACGAGAGTCATCATTATTTTCTCATTGCTTTGAAGAGAGTATTTAATATATATCGTCCAACTGATGTATTGCAGTGAATGGAGTTGCTCATTTCTTAATCAGATGTTCAAAATTTGAATATGAAAAAAATCCTTAGTATGAAGCGTTATCCCTGAATGAGCTCTTATATAGCTCAAATTTGAAATAGTCGAACTTTGCTACATACTGAACAGTAATCAATGTATAGCTAGTTCAAATTCCAATTTGTGATGACGGCGCTTAAATTATTACTATTCAAATAAAAAGGCACAAGAGATGAAATACCCGTCATGTATGAATCCATACAATTTTGACAAGAATTAAAATGTTGAATCACTTCTACTGGACTTTTTATATTTGTAGTAACTTCCAAACTATATATCACGTATGCAGCCTTTGTCCTTCAAGAAAAGTATAAGCTTCCAGGTGTGTTCGGTATGGATCGAAACGTTTTCAATTTTCTTATGTTTCGATTGGGCAAATATTTGAAAACTATTCTCTTAATGATTTTTATTTTTTTTAAATAAGAAAAATGACTTTTCTAATGAAAGTAGGAGAAACAAAGTCACTCAATAGATTTTCACTAAGGCCCAGGGGTTCAAAAATATGAAAAGTGAACACAGGAAGAAGCCGAAGAAGTCCAATATCTATATAAAAAAATAATAATAATAATAATCATGTAAAAACTGTGTAATTTTTTGAAGAAGAGGGCTTGGATGAACCCCTCAATCATACCTAACTCCTCTCCTGGCTCTACTAGTAACATTCCATATTGATTGTATCTTCCCCACCTTCCACCTTCCATAGTATTT